GATACGTATCCAGGAACGCACGTGCCAGAGCCCTGGACGATACTAGAGCAACATGGCGATAGCGACATCATGCAGCTTGCGGCGGAGATGATGTCTCTCACCAAGATGAACGTCAACAATGCGCATTTCTCCGATGGCACTCCCATCACCCTCGCCTTCACTCAGAAAGTTGGCGAAGTATTGAAGCAGGTCGGCCCCGAGATGCCCGTCCGGTCGGAGTACAAATTCTACATGTAAGCTCCTTCCAAGCGGCGCAAATGAAGTGGTTAGCGATATGTGGCGGAAACTAGCGGTCAGCGTATCCTTGCTCACCCTCGGGCTCTCCTTCCCCACCTCCACCACCGCCGTTGCATGGGGAGCCACGGGGCACGAATGGGTGTCAGGCATCGCCGTCGAGAAGCTCCCCGTCTCCCTCCCTCCTTCATCCGCTCCCCCGAACCCATCGCCGGGATAGCCGTCATGGGTCGCGAGTTGGATCGCTGTAAGGGCTCCGGCAGGACGCCACGACGCTGAGCGCGATACCGAACACTACGTCGACCTGGCGGATGACAGATCGGTGGAGGGCGCGGCGGCTGTCCTCACGGCGTTTCCTGGATGGGGCGCGAAGTAGGATCGAGAGTTGAGTAAGGTGCCCCCTCAAATTGGGCGCAGGGGAAGCTCGGGTCGTGGGTAAGCTCGTCGGAATTCTTATGATCCTGCTGATAGGCTTGGTCGGATTGGGCCTGTTTGTTGCGCCCGGCTGGATGGCGGCCCAGATCGTTGCCGTCTTCGGCATCCCGCCATCTGGCGACAAAGCGCTGGAGCCCCGATTGAAAGCGGTCGTGATGGACGCCTTGAGTAAAGGACATGCCCCATGCACAGGCGTTCACAGGATAGCGGCAGCTCGGCAAGAAGGTTACGACGCCATATTGACGGCCGTCTGCATGAACGGCGCGTCGTATGGCATCCGCTTCAAGCTCAACGGCGAGACTTCATTCTGGCCGAGCAGCAGGTAGCGATCACTGGCAGGAAGGCAGGTTCTCGCAGAGGGCCAGCTGGCATCGAACCTACCGGGGCGCCTCGAAGAAGTCGTTGATGGCAGCAGCCACGTCGAGTGGCCTCGTCATTGCCGGGATGTGGCCGGAGCCTTCCAACACGACGAGCTTGCTTTCAGGGATCAGCGAAGCGATGTAGCGCATCGTCTCGACGTTAACGCCGAAGTCCTTTTCCCCGTGCAACAACAAGGTGGGCAGACGTAGGCGCGGCAGCTCGCTGGCCCAATCTACTGAGGTCTCCCACTGCATTGTCATGATCCTCTCCGCCGCCTCCGGTGCAGCGCGAGAAAGGATATTCACTCCCCACCGCCGCACGTGCTCGACATCCGGCTCCGGCGTGCTGCGTTCGATGAACCACCTGAGTCGATCTCGATGGGTCTCCCCCGGCCACTTTGAAGGGGGCGTTCTCGGAGCCGGCGTAGCGCCAGGAAGCTGCACCTCGCCCGTCCCGTTCAAAAGGATCAATCCCTCGAACCTTTCGGGATGGCGAAGGACGGCCCGCATGACCGTCATCACTCCGCGCGAGAAGCCAGCGAGCACGCATTTCTCAATCGAGAGGGCGTCCATCACGGCAAAGACATCGTCAACGAGGGCCTCGTGCGTAATGCCCTCAACAGGAGCTGTCGTCTCGCCGGTGCCGCGATGATCGTAGACGACCGTCCGCCAGGTCTCGCTCAAAGGAGCGAGCGCGCCGATCCAGTCCTCGAAGTTTCCGACCCAACCGCTATGAGCCAGGATCGTTCGGGGGCCGCTTCCGAAGCTGAGCGTGAAGACTTTGTTGCCGCCAATGTCCAAGAACATGCTGGCCCTCCAGCAACCGAGCTAGCGCTCACATGCGAAGTGCATCATGGTCACACCGCCCGAAGCGTAGTTAGCAACGTCACCCGCGACCGCCTGTCCTTCTTTGGACGCAAGAGCACTCATGAGCGCGGCCTCGCTCTCAAACTCTGCCTCGAAGATGCAGAAGTATGGCGCCTTGCCGGGCCCAAGGGGCTTCACGTCGAATGAATATCGGCTCTCCTTGAGTCCAGGGAGTTTGCTTGCCAACGGCAGATGCGTCTCGACGTAGTACTTCCGGAAGTGTGCAGGGTCCTTCGGCTCATTGTATGCGACGAGCAACTTGTACATGTCCCTCTCCCCATCCCGCGCAAGTTCCGGTTGTCTGTCCTACTTGATAGATGCCTCTGTAGCGTAAGCAAGGGCCGCAGAGACCGCCAGCCCAAAAGCGTTGCAGTCGTTGCATTATTTCCACTACGCTCAACCCCGCCATGACAGAGCAGCGGCGCGAGAGGACCTGATGAGCGATTTCACGCCGCCAATTACCCGGTACGTCCTGAATGACAGCGTCAGCATCGCCTATCAGGTCATGGGTGAAGGGCCGGTAGACATAGTGCTGATCCCCGGCGGCATATCTCACATCGAGGCAATGCATGATATGGCGGGTTACACCGTCCTTCCTCCGCCGCCTGGCGACCTTCTCCCGCGTCATCACCTTCGACAAGCGCGGTCAGGGGCCTGTCCGACAGGATGTCCGAGGCGCCGTTCGCTCGAAGCGAGCATGGACGATGTACGAGCGATCATGGATGAAGTCGGGTCGAGCCGAGCAATACTTATTGGCTTCTCCGAAGGCTCAGCGATGAGCACCTTGTTTTCGGCGACATACCCCGACCGTGTCTCACGCCTCATCCTGTTCGGAGCCTTCCCGCGGGGCAGCTATCAGCCGGCCTCAGTGGAAAACAGGATTGCGGTGATGCAGAAGCATTGGGGCACCGGCGCCTTCGTCAAACGCGCAGTGGCATCACAGCAGCAGGTGAGCGAGAGCACCATGGAGGCCTACGGGCGGTTCGAGCGATTGGCGGCCAGTCCAGGCGCCCAGCGCAACAACATGCTCGTGAACAGCCGCATCGATGTGAGTCCAATCCTCGGCACGGTCCGCGCGTCCACCTTGGTGCTTCATCGAAAAGGCGACGCCATCGTCCCCGTCGAGCAAGGGCGCATCATGGCGCAACTCATTCCTAACGCTAAGTACATCGAGTATCCCGAAGGCGACCACGGGTTCTGGAGCGGTGATACGGAAGCGCTTCTCGGCGACATCGAGGAGTTCGTCACCGGGCATCGCGACGGCAGCAACGCTGATCTCGAACGGGTACTCGCCACGGTCCTGTTCACTGACATCGCGGGGTCGACCCAGAGCGCAGTGGAGATGGGCGACCAGAAGTGGCGCCACTTGCTAGATGAGCACGACCGTCTTGGACGGCGGATGGTCGAGCGCCACCGAGGCAACCTCGTGAAGACGACGGGAGATGGTGTTCTCGCTACCTTCGATGGACCAGGCCGGGCCGTTCGATGTGCCCTTGCTCTGACAGCGGCGGCGCGGGAGATAGGCGTGCCTTTGCGGGCAGGTCTTCACACAGGAGAGATAGAAGTTCGAGGCCACGACGTGGGAGGCATTGCCGTGCATGCAGCGGCCCGCGTCATGGGGCATTCGCAGCCAGGCGAAGTGCTGGTCTCACGGGTGGTGACGGACCTAGTGGCGGGTGCCGGGCTTGGCTTCTCCGGGCGCGGATCGCATGAACTCAAGGGGATACCGGGGCAGTGGGAGTTGTTCGCGGCCCACCTGTGACTACGGCAGCTCATCCCGTCAGGCTTGGGAGGAAAGCGCGGAGACGCCTGTGGGCTATCCGATGGTCAACGTGAAGGACATCGAGAGTGGCAAGGTGCGGGCTACGCGGGAGATGTTTGGTGCTGATTGAGGGAGTGGGGCGATGGCTGGGTGGCGGCAATGCGCTGAGGTAGTCGTTTTTGCATTCACTATTGCAGTTGCGGTGGCGGCACTTGTTCTTGCGGTATCGGCGGTTGTTCGCGCCTGGCGGAGCGGTCGCCCATTACGGCAGCCGACTCCTATGCCGAAGGCGGCCAGCACCGAGCCGGTAACAGAGGAACGCAAGAAGCAATTAGGTGAGCACTGGGAGAGATGGCGCAAACGATTCGCCGGCTACGCCACAGAATACAATCATCTCATTAATCCCCTGCGGAAGGACACGATCGACATAATCAAAGAGGCGGCCAATTGGGGTCGTTTGGCAGTCCAATATGCGTTGATAGGAAACGGAGGAGCGCTGGCAGCGCTGCCCTATCTGCTGAGCAACACCACTCGACTGGAGCTGCCGATCGGTGATGCCATTTGGTCTGCGCTGTGGTTCGCGAGCGGCCTTCTTTGCGCTGCCCTCTGCTGCCTGATCGCCTATCTAGACTTCCAGGTAACGGCTCTCATCTACCAAGCGGACCAGCGGATGGACTTAGATGCGCTGCGGCAACGTCACTTCGAGACGACGGAGGTCATTGAAATCGAACCCCGCGTTTCGATGCGGAATGCGCTTTCTGCCGCCACCATTCGTACGGGATTTGCTGGCGTTGTGCTCGGCCTCATCGCCTGGTTCGCGCTCGCTTGGGGTGCCTTCCGGCTCATCGTCTCTTTGATGCCATAGCCCGCTAAGAGCGCCGGGCTTTTGCGCAAGGCCTATCCTCTCGGAGAGAGCAGACAGTCAAACGGCTAGCAGCGCATGCCGAGGAGCCGCGCATCCTCTCAAGCCCTAGTGTAGCTTTCAAAGCATGCAGCGGACGAACTGCTCTCCGCTCAAGCCGCCATGCCAAATCGGGCGCAGACGCTAGAGGCTTCGACTTCGTAGGAGTCGGGCTATGCTCTTTCCTCTCCCCTTCTCCACCTTCGACCAAGTGCGCGACCTCGGACATAGCGCGTCGCTCTACTGCACCGGGTGCCACCGCAAGGTCACCATCGACCTCAACGAC